ACATTGGAGGCATCACAATAGAGATTTTGGTATGGCATTAGATCTGTATTTGGGGATATTATACCAGTGGCTGGTGACAGTAAGAGGTGGCAAGGGAAGAAAGCAGGCCGGGAAGCTAGCACTGGGCTCCTTTTCACCCAGTCTTGTCCTTTTCAAAAATCCAAAGAGAATATGCATTTTTCTAGCTCAGTGATTCTGAGCCCTTGGCCCTGGATGATGGTACAAGTATGTATTCCTTTTGAATGTGCAGACCCAACGCAACCAGGGAATCTAAATTAAGCTCAAGGTTGCCTTGAGAATCATTCTATCCAAACATTGGGCATGAATCTTTGATGATGTTGGTGGTGATCTTCAGTTGCCCACAGGTTGGACTTGATTTTGCCTCTAAGGCTGAAGCCCTCCACTGATGTACATTCATGGCAAGCTTTTGACATATCAGGAGTGGTGCAAATATCTTTGTAATCTGAGACTCGGTTCAGAACATTTTTATATGAATTCAGAACCTGCCAAGGGTTTACGTTAGGAATTAATAAGATTCTTGACCCTGACATGCATCTTTATGAGCAAAAATATCAGGGGTGGTTCTATCATCAGGTGTTGCTTACTCTGGTCAACGTGCATCTCAAATACTGCACCCAGTTCTTAAAAAAGGCCGTGAACAGAGTGGAGTGGGTGCAAAACAGGGAAATGAAGATGAGCAGGGGATTGGAAAGGAAGGCCTACAAGGAGAATACATCGGCAATGCCTTGTCAGAATCAAATCTGGTTGTCTGGTCATTAAGAGAAGGCCTCCTTCAAGGGCCCCCTCGTCAGAGGTTCACGCTACATGGGCAAGGTGACTGGTCTTCTGGGCACTGGCACCTTTCCTTGGGACACCCTACCACCTGAGGTTGGAATGGTCCCAACCCTTTGGCATTTGGTAAATTGTTTCAATGGGTGCTTGGCCCTCTGGGGAATGTTTAGTTGTGGGGTGCCTGGGAGGTTGCCTGTTCACTGGGGCTTTCACCATGCCAATGTTGTCCTCTTTGTATTGTTTGTACCCCACCCAAATTACAGTTGGGACAGGCGATTCCTAATTAAGTAAAAAGGAGGAGAGACGGGCAGAGTTGGACCTGCATGGTCCAGGCACTGGGGGCATAATGTTAGTTTGGAAGCCTTGGCCTGGGGCCATGGATCTAACGCTTTGGGTTTTTACTGACCCTCAGTGTGGCTTTAGCTTTCATGTAATCCTTTCTTTTTGCCACGCAGCTTCTCGGAGAGATGGGCGGCTATGTAAATTGGATTAATAAATAATAAATAAGTAGGGAAGACTAAGGGTGGGGGCGGAAAGTAATACATCAAAGGAGATAGTGCTCATGACTAAATATTGCCTATTGCCCCACTGGGCAGAACATGGAATAATGAATTTAAACTTCAGGAAGGCAGATTCTCATTGAATTTATTAAAAACTATCTAACAGTAAGAGCAGCAACAGGGGAACCAGGGGCCCAGAGAGATGTCAGGCTCCCCTTTACTGGGTGGTGTTGAAGGAGACAATGGGCAACCATCTGAGAGAAATTTCTGCACTGAGCAGTGGGGTGAGCTCCATGACCTCCAGATCCCTTTCTACTACACAACAGACAAGATGCCTTCCTTTAGGGATGTTGGCCCCAGGGCAGCAAATGGTTGGTGAGAGAGTTTATCCCAGTTGCCCCAGACGTGGTGTGGGCTGTGGAGTTAATAGCGCTGTGTTTTCCAAACTTGGCAAGTTTAAGATGGGTGGAGTTCAACTCCCAGAATTCCCCAGCCAGGGCTGAGGAATTCTGGGAATTGAAGTCCACCCATC